GTGAGGTTCAACATCTCTTCACATGGTTTTTGTACATTTTCAAGCAGGGATTTTAGACTTCTTAACCTTCAATTTTTTTTTAAGACAAAATCTGCTCTGTTACCAAGACTAGAGTACAATGGCGTGATCATAGCTCACTGCAGCCTTGAACTCTTGGGCTCAAATGATCCTCCCGTCTCAGCCTCCAGAGTAGTTGGTACTACATGCATGCACCACCACAACCAACTAATTCTTAAAAAAATTTTTTTTTTAGAGATGAGGCCTTGCTATGTTGCTCAGACTGGTCTTGAACCCTTGGCCTCAAGTGATCCTCCTGCCTTGGCCTCCCAAAGTGTTGGGATTACAGGCGTGAGCCTCTCTCTGTGCCTAGCCTTGAAAGATCCTATAATTCAGCCTAGTAACAATTTTGTTTGTCAAGTATGCTGCATTTCTCATAGTTTTTATTTTATATTATTTTTAATCTTTTTAAAATAAATACAAAATATGTATTAAATCTCTCAATCATTTTCCTTTTGGTTTCTTGCCTCAGTGTCATGGTTCAAAATTAAAAAGGTAACATTTAAAGTCTAATGTTTATAAAGTTCATAGTGCTTTTTGCATCCATTATTTCTTTGAAGCCTCATAACAACCCTCTGAATAAAAATTATCATTATTATCATCCTTACTTATAGCTGAGGAAAATAAGCCTGAGAAAGAAGGCAAGAATTACTCAGAGTTAAGGTTAGTAAGTAGAAGAGCCTTGACTTAAACTTGGGCTTTCTTACTCTAAATACTGTGCTCTTGCCTCTAACAGCAAATACTAAGTGGAGCAGCTTAAGAAAGTGTCCATTAATGTAATAAAGATTTTGATGTTTTATAATGAATGAAATGCTATTTGGCTGGTTGGCTGTTCTACTGTTTTATTTATTTATTTTTTTGAGATGGAGTCTCACTATGTTGCCCAGGCTGGAGTGCAGTGGTGAGATCTCAGCTCACTGCAAGCTCTGCTTCCCAGATTCAAGTGATTCTTGTCCTTCAGCCTCCCAAGTAGCTGGGACTACAGGCACATGCCACCATGCCTGGCTAATTTTGGTATTTTTAGTAGAGACAGGGTTTTACCATGTTGGCCAGGCTGGTCTTGAACTCCTAACCTCAATTAATCCGCCAGCCTCGGCCTCCCAAAGTGCTGGTATTACAGGCATGAACCACTGCACCTGGCCGGCTGTTAGTCTTTATTTTGTTTGGAATACTAGAGAAAAGTCAGTGTCAAAATATTATTCTGGAATAAATCTATTAAAAGACAGTAGTTTCGAATAATGATGTGGTCTATGTACTGCTGCCAGTTCTTGAACTGTTTTTTAATGGGTTGAAACAAGGTAAGCACAGAAATGAAAAAGAAGACCAGGAGTGAAACCCTGTCTCCACTAAAAATACAAAAATTAGCCAGGCATGGAGGTGCGCATATGCTACTTGGGAGGCTGTGACAGGAGAATTGCTTGAACCCAGGGGGCAGTGGTTGCAGTGAGCCGAGATCACACCACTGCAATCCAGCCTGGGTGACAGAGCAAGACTCTGCCTCAAAAAAATATAAATAAATAAAAAAGAAAAAAATATTTAGAACCACTGTCAGCAATGTGACCATGCTGTGGTCATTCAAGCACCTGGAAAGCAGGCTAATCTTGCTGAACAGTGTATGTTTCAATGTTGTTGAACTTGTGTTGTGACTCTCATGTACCACAGGCTGTCTATTAGTTATTCATAGTAGCATCACCTATTGGTCCATTAAAACATGGGAAATTTAAAAAATTGATACCACAGATAGTTTGAGAAGCACTGCTCTAAATTGCAAGTAATACTTTTTTTCTTTTTTTCTTTTTGAGATGGAGCCTCGCTCTGTTGCTCAGGCTGGAGTGCAATGGCATGATCTCGGCTCACAGCAACTTCCGCCTCCTGGGGTTCAAGCAATTCTCCTGCTTCAACCCCCCAAGTAGCTGGGACTACAGGCGCCCGCCACCATGCCCGGCCAATTTTTTGTATATTTAGTAGAGATGAGGTTTCACCATGTTAGCCAGGATGGTCTCGATCTCCTGACCTTGTGATCTTCCCACCTCGGCTTCCCAAAGTGCTGGGATTACAGACGTGAGCCACCTGCCTGGCCGCAAATAATGCTTTTTGAACTAGGTGGGAACTCTGTTAGCACATAAAGATAGGCCTTTGGAGCAGGTGAGCCTGGGGAGGGATCTAGAGCTCTGACCCTC